GGTAGCCCATCAGTTTGCAATCCTTTAGGTCATCACTACATATGTTAAGGCGAAGGTGGTCCTTGATAAGCTGAAGGGTGGTCTCCATGCAGGTCTCTTGGGTGACTGTGGGTGGGAGATGTTTGCTGTTAACTACAACAGCGTCAGATAGCTGCTGTTGGTCATTATGGTCTTGGAAGTTGGTTATGACATTGGCAAGTTGTTGGTCCACTCTAGATCTTTCCTCTGTAATGTTGGTAGTAAGTAGGGTGACTTGGTCTTTTAGAGTGTTGATGGTGTCTAGGGACTGGGTGTGGGTGTTGCTTTGTTGTTCCAAAGATGCCAATTTCCAAATAAGGTCCAGAATAAACAAGACATTCCTGGCACTAAAATAACATTTTTTCTGTTCATTAGTTACATTACCAGCCCCCTCTTACATTTCTTTTGCTTTCCACTTTGAATTTTTATTCTCACAAAAAAATAGAAGATTTACTGTTATGCAGACTACTGCATTAGTGTAGAAATGGTATAAATAATATCAGCGCACTTGTGAAAGAATATTAGATTTACCAGTTGACGTGTATTGGACGCGTGGCACGATTTGTTTACTTTCGAACTTTGGCAAAAATCGAACATTTCTGCTTCTTTGAGCTCAATTTCAAGGTACTTTTCATTGTGAAACCAATCAAAATCATCTCAATTTCCATAATATGTCTTCCATTCTATAAAATGAGACCAGGAAAACTAGAATACAACCATAAATAGCATACACAAATACACTGTAAAGTCTCCGTTTTAAAGCAAAAACACGGAGTTCTTTTTTTCTCATTATGCACTGTGTGCTGCAGGATTTTTTATACTGTGCACACTGACCACATAGACCTATTCTTTCATATGTAGGCCTACCAGCTTTCTCTCACTAGATTTGAAGGCACTAGAATTTATGCGTACCAGTATGGCACCAACCCTGGTGTGCAAACCGTACTAGTATGGCATCAACCCTGAAAGGGTTAATGTACAATTTTTTTTTTTTTCAACAAGCCGGCTGTATCCCACCAAGGCAGGGTGGCCCAAAAAGAAAAACGAAAGTTTCTCTAATATACAAAATATACACTCATATTACTGTGACTATTATAAATATAGAACTTTAAATTCCAATATAAACCCTCCTCTCAAACTTCTCTTTAATAGCTACAACAGAACACACAGGCATAACACAAGGCACAAAACTCTTCGGCATCCCTCATGTCTGCCTCACCCTAAGAAAAAATGCAATGCATATAAAGGGCCCCAAGATCTGGACTTCATTGCCCGAACCAGGAAAAGGTCCCCTGTCTGCTAATCAATTTAAGGCTATAATTAAAAATCACGTCATCTCCCAGACTTAACTACATCAACATTGCTATACCACACACAACCAACTCTTCCAAATACTTCCGTTACTTAACCATCTCTTATAATCCTTCCATAGCCTGAAATCATAGAACCAGTTTGAAACTACTCAAGAAATCCAAATTAGCTTAAGACCACTAAATCAGCTTAAAGTATACTTAATTGTAATACTTTTTGTTCCCAGTCTACTATAAATTTTCTTATTATAATATTTTTGCTGTCTAATTTTTTGTAATAATACAGTGGAACCTCAAAAATCGAACTGCTCCCAACACGACCAATTATGTAAGTGTATTTTTGTAAGTGCTTTTATAAGTGTATGTTTGAGGGTCTGAAATGGACTAATCTAATTTACATTATTCCTGATGGGAATAAATTCATTCGGTAAAGGCACTCAAACAGCCTTCTGGACCGAAGAAAGTTCGATATTTGAGGTTCCACTGTACATAATTAAAATTTGCCACTTCATAACCTATGTCTAGTTTTAAGTAGTTATGTAAGCATTAGTATTAGCCTGCCAGAAATGCTCATGCATGTTAGTGGCTTTTTTTGTTCTTAACAATACTTACTGCATGTAAACTACACTCCGCATATTACACAAAGAAATATAAACTTTGATTTTATTTTGATTTTGAACTAATATCATATCCTGATGGAGCACCATCAACAACAATGAAGAAAAAACCATGTACATAAAGATACAGTGGTACCTTGGGATTCGAACTTAACTTGTTCCACAAGACTGTTCGACTGCCGATACAGAACGAATTTGTTCCCATAAAGAATAATGTAAATTTAATTAATCTGTTTCAGACCCCCAAAACAACACTTACAAAAGCACTTGCATAAATACGCTTCCATAACTGCATTTACCACCCAAGCTTCACACCCATATAAGAGTGTTGGTGCTACTATACTTTCATACATTCATTCTTTGCCTCCATAGATAACGTTTTTTTGACTCCACATATACCTCAACGCACCGCTCACCTTTTTTCCCCTCATCAATTCTATGATTAACCTCATCCTTCATAAATCCATCCGCCGACACGTCAACTCCCAAGTACAGTGGACCACCGCATAACGATTACCTCCGAATGTGACCAATTATGTAAGTGTATTTATGTAAGTGCGTTTGTACGTGTATGTTTGGGGGTCTGAAATGGACTAATCTACTTCACAATATTTCTTATGGGAACAAATTCGGTCAGTACTGGCACCTGAACATACTTCTGGAGTGAAAAAATATCGTTAACCGGGGGTCCACTGTATCTGAAAACATTCACTTCTATCCAATTTTTCTTTATCTAAATCATTTGATACCCTCATCACCTTACTCTTTTTTTTTTTTTTAAGTGAACATAGAAAAGAGTAAGGTGATGAGGGTATCAAATGATTTAGATAAAGAAAAATTGGATATCAAATTGGGGAGGAGTATGGAAGAAGTGAATGTTTCCAGATACTTGGGAGTTGACGTGTCGGCGGATGGATTTATGAAGGATGAGGTTAATCATAGAATTGAGGGAAAAAAGGTGAGTGGTGTGTTGAGGTATATGTGGAGTCAAAAAATGTTATCTATGGAGGCAAAGAAGGGAATGTATGAAAGTATAGTAGTACCAACACTTACATGGGTGTGAAGCTTGGGTGGTAAATGCAGCAGCGAGGAGGTGGTTGGAGGCAGTGGAGATGTCCTGTCTAAGGGCAATGTGTGGTGTAAATATTATGCAGAAAATTCAGAGTGTGGAAATTAGGAAAAGGTGTGGAGTTAATAAAAGTATTAGTCAGAGGGCAGAAGAGGGGTTGTTGAGGTGGTTTGGTCATTTAGAGAGAATGGATCAAAGTAGAATGACATGGAAAGCATATAAATCTATAGGGGAAGGAAGGCGGGGTAGGGGTCGTCCTCAAAAGGGTTGGAGAGAGGGGGTAAAGAAGGTTTTGTGGGCGAGGGGCTTGGACTTCCAGCAAGCGTGCGTGAGCGTGTTAGATAGGAGTGAATGGAGACGAATGGTACTTGGGACCTGACGATCTGTTGGAGTGTGAGCAGGGTAATATTTAGTGAAGGGATTCAGGGAAACCGGTTATTTTCATATAGTCGGACTTGAGTCCTGGAAATGGGAAGTACAATGCCTGCGCTTTAAAGGAGGGGTTTGGGATATTGGCAGTTTGGAGGGATATGTTGTGTATCTTTATATGTGTATGCTTCTAAACTGCTGTATTCTGAGCACCTCTGCAAAAACAGTGATAATGTGTGAGTGTGGTGAAAGTGTTGAATGATGATGAAAGTATTTTCTTTTTGGGGATTTTCTTTCATTTTTGGGTCACCCTGCCTCGGTGGGAGACGGCCAACTTGTTGAGGGAAAAAAAAAAAAAAACTGTTCGAGTTTTGAGCTGTTAGTATCCCGAAGTATCACTGCATTTTAAACGAGGAAACGCTTCAATGTTGCTAATCTGCAATGGTAATGCCAAGGAAAAGGGTAGGGGGGCTGAAGCCCCCAAAAATTCATCATCCCTCCAAAGCTCCCCAAATAAATAGTTTTTTTTTTTCAACAAACCTGCCATATCCCACCAAGGCAGGGTGGCCCAAAAAGAAAAACAAAAGTTTCTCTTTTTAAATTTAGTAATTTATACAGGAGAAGAGGCTACTAGCCCCTTGCTCCCGGCATTTTAGTCGCCTCTTACAATATGCATGGCTTACTGAGGAAGAATTCTGTTCCACTTCCCCATGGAGATAAGAGGAATTAAATAAGAACAAGAACTAGTAAGAAAATAAAAGAAACCCAGAGGGGTGTGTATATATACGCTTGTACATGTATGTGTAGTGTGACCCAAGTGTAAGTAGAAGTAGCAAGACGTACCTGAAATCTTGCATGTTTCTTCTTTCTTTCAACACACCGGCCATATCCCACCGAGGCAGGGTGGCCCAAAAAGAAAAACAAAAGTATTCTCTTTTTAAATTTAGTAATTTAAACAGGAGAAGGGGTTACTAGCCCCTTGCTCCCAGCATTTTAGTTGCCTCTTACAACACGCATGGCTTATGGAGGAAGAATTCTGTTCCACTTCCCCATGGAGATAAGAGGAAATAAACAAGAACAAGAACTAGAAAGAAAATAGAAGAAAACCCAGAGGGTGTGTATATAAATGTCTTTACATGTATGTGTTGTGTGACCTAAGTGTAAGTAGAAGTAGCAAGACTTGCCTGAAAATCTTGCATATTTACGAGACAGACAAAAGACACCAGCAATCCTAGCATCATGTAAAACAATTACAGGCTTTCGTTTTACACTCACTTGGCAGGACGATTGTACCTCCCTGGGCGGATGCTGTCTACCAACCTACTACCTAGGTGTTGTAGTCATATGACATAAATAACCTTTATTGGTTTCACAGCCTAAAACAAGCAGTAAAACCCTTCAAGGGCCTGCACATGGACTGGGCCATGGGGGCATTTACCCCTGAGATTCCCCTCCAAGTAAGGTAATGAGGATGGGGGTGCCTTGATGTTACTGAAGACTTCTTCCTTTCCCTGAATCAAATATGAATACCACTCATTTCCCAGGCACTGTGTAACCATTATGAGCTTTTTGCTTCCCTGTGATTATAAAAATAATAATAATAAGTGATACACATACCTTTGGTATCGTCAAACCAGGTGTTGGGGTTGGGCGCCATCGCTGGATTAGAAAGAAAGTGATTCATATCCTCTCTCTCTTCCTCTAACATAAGGTCATATAGAGGTGTCCCAGACAGGTCACTCTGAAGAACAGACAAGTTCATCAAGATTCAACAAAGACTGAGAGACACATACATTAGGCACCAAAATACTACCATGCATATAATTTCCAGTCAGAAATAACACACCCTCCATATAACGGACCAATAGGAAAAAACAGGTAATCGGTAATGTCAGTTGTGGAGGACAAAGAGAAATATATTGATACAGTTTGTCATTATATGAATGACTTATTGTACCTTATAATGCACTCTTAAGACACTTTGGAGATGAATGTTTAGAAAATTTCTGAATTTTTCTGCCAGAGTAGAGTACTGCAACTGTTATAATGGTTTACTTAACTAAACCCTTCCAAATTTCTTTCTAGCAAAGGTACCATATTCTCCCCTTACTCCTCTACCACATTCTCTTCTCAGTCCTTGGAGAGAATATCACTCCCTGCTTCTCATCCACTGGTCCGTCAGATATTTGATGAGGGTAGAAACAAGGCAGTCATCAAAGGTAAGATTTTTCTATAACTACAACAAACACTAGTTGAAAGATAATCAAGGTGAATTACACACGTCTCATTTATTTAGCAGACAGCATATCAACTTCTTTGTTGCTTAAGGTGCTTCAACTACTAGGTCATTAACACCATATACCTATTGTACAGGATACCAAATGAGTGTGGATATGGGGGGATGCCCATCTGCAACCTGCTAAACACCACCTCCACCTTAAGGAACCTGTGATAAGAGAAGCCCCGGTCCCAAATGACTGGTTTAATGTCCTTCAAAGAAGAACTGACAACACCCCAAGATACATACCAATCCCAGTGAACAGTAACTTGTATCACTCCAAAGGCGGGTCATCATCTGACTAAGACCCACGTCAGGAAACATTTGTCCTGTTTCCTGACGAACCTTACCTAACCTAACCTAACAAAACAATAGATGTTGAACCCCTAGCTAAAGTATAAATGACATACCTGAACACATAGGACTGGAGTTACTCTTTGATTCTATTCCACAGAATTATATTCACTTCTCAATATCCAGTAAATGTGTGATTCCCAACAATGTATGAGTAATACAAACCATATACTGAAACTGTATGACAAAGTTTCAGCCTCAAAAGTGCCATCTTAGACCACAGCACCACTTGCCTAAACAATGAACTTTTGGAGTGCCAATGTAAAAGAACCTGAAGATGTAAAAGACAACACAGAGAATTTTAATAGAAAACTTCAACAGAAAACTTTAACAGAGAACTTCAACATTATAATAATATACGTACTAAAAAATACAGACAATGCCAATGACAGAGGCCAGGAAAGAGAATAAAGAGGTAAATAACCAATATGTACGTTTCTGCTCTACGTTATCCTTTCCCAACCAAGACAGGGTGATCTAAACAAGGATACACATTCACCATCATTCATTCAATACCTGTCTTGCCAGAAGTGCATTGACACTACAACTCAAAAGGCCCTTCAAACTATATTTTTTCCACCATTCCTTGCCCTACACAATGAACATAAGGTCAGTGCCTCATAAAAAACAACACAATGGTTTTCTTGCTCTTTTTAAGGTCACAGGCCAACTAGCAACTTAAAGGCAAGCAGTGTGATTTAATTTCCTAGATTGGAATTAAACTACCACTGTCAACACACTGAGGGATACATTTCTCAGTGTCTACCCACTTGAGATACACTTCTCAGTGCCTGGACACTAAGAGATACATTTCTCACTGTCTACACTCAGAAAAGCACCCAAGACAACCAAGATGATATGTAACACACAGTAAGAAATTCCCATAAAATAAAGAACATATAGATATACTGTACTAGAGACTGTCGCACAAACTATCTTGATGAAGAAAGACATACCAGATGAGAGACAGCTGAAAGTACACTACATAACCTGAGTCACAAGGACAAGATTCTGAGAATAAATAGCAAAGAAAACAAGTGTAATTGATGTATTATTTATTTTCCAACAATTTGTTATAGTTTTACATTTAGTTATTGGCCAGTTTATAATTGGTCAGTTTATTATTTGAAGACCATTGACAGCTTAAGAGTAAAACTAAAAGGAAATATGGACTTACAGATTTAAAAAAATGGATACCTAAAAGATGGTGAAAAGAAAATTATGAAACGTGAGAGAGGAAAACTTACTGGTAAATGTCCCAAGATAGGAGTGACTGAGTCGGAGGTATAGAGAACCCGTCCAGAACAAGACACAGTAATAATGAAGCCATCCAATGCCTGAAGGTAAAAAGAAAAAAAAAAAGAAAAAAAAAGAGAGAAAATACAATGTAGTACTTACATTTTTATAACCCTGATTAAGAGAAAATGGTATCCCATTTTTATTCAGAAGAGTGCAAAATAACTAAATGCAATTTCTGAAATACCTTATTTTACTTTCATTTAACTAATAATACAATGCTTCTGCTACATTTGTTTTTATTGTGAGAACTGCAGATATCCACTGTTGCATTTCTGTAGAGGAGAGAGTACAGAAAACTGTAGATGCAGAAAAGTGCACAGAGATGGTGCAAAACACAGCTGAAGAGAGGGTCCAGGAGATGGGAGAGGAGATAGTAAGAGAGATGGAAGAGAAGATATTAAGGGAGGCAGGAGAGGGAGGGTACAGATGGGAGTACAGGAGACAAAAGAAGTTGCTTTGTTAGATTTAAGGTCTGTCAACTGCATGAGTGTCATTAAGGTTGCATTTCACATGTACACTAACATAAAGGCTAGTTTCATACCTAAATAAGGAATTATAGTAAACTTTCAGTATATGTACAAAAGGAAATACTATACACTTCAGTATATACATTAAGAGTTACACCTCTCAGCATACTATATATGCTCTTCAGAGAGAGGGAAATATACCAAAGGTGGAGTTGAGAAGGAAGAGATGTAGCTGTTAAAAGTAAACATTATAGGAGAGGGTAGAGAGTGAAGAAGGTACATACCTCAAGCATGAGGTGAGTAAACTCCTCGTTAGTGAGGAAGGAAGGTTTCCAGTCTTCCCTCACCTCTTGGTTCTGACACCTCACGGAGATCTCTGAAGCAGACACAATAAATACAATTACAAAAAAACAATTATAACAGTTTCGAAATTGAGGAGGTGAAGACACACACCAAGGCTGAGGGACTGACCACGTCAAACTTACTCCTCAAAGGTGAGGGAGTAATCACTTCTTGTCTACGTCTCCGCTACTTTTTCTGTCAGGCGAAATGTTTCATCAATAAAGACATTAAAGTGTTGTGCAGGTGTCTTACTCTAATGTCAGGCAAGGCTTGTCCCTGAGAAAACACTGATGATGTCTGATGGAAATAAATGGTATAAAATACCGACACAGTGGAAATATAAACACACATGCAGTATAATGTGATCCTTTGTTGACAACGTTTTGCCCACACAGTGGGCTTTTTCAAGTCCAGGTAGATCTGTTTGTGACTTGAAAAAGCCCACTGTGTGGGCGAAACGTTGTCAATAAAGGATCACATTATACTGCATGTGTGTTTATATTTCCGATGATGTTTGATGATGGATGATGATTAATGATGCAATCAGTGAGTGGAGTGAGTATGGTTGGACAAGACCTAGTACTGAACAATGAAAGGGGTATGATGGCAGCAGTGAGTGACTCACTAAGAACAATATAACCACAGGCCACACACACACCTTTTACTTTGCACCTCACTGACACCAAGGGCGTTAAACTATAAAATTTAATAGGACATGGCTTCATAATGATAATGACTTCTGAATATGCACTTGCCTTTATAAACACATTGACTTAATAAAGGTACTGATATTATCATAGAACTTATTTATATAAGAGCTGTGATTTTTTCTGAAGAGGCAAACTGAAGACAGGACCCCTTCTCCTCCTTCTCACACAGGAGTGACCTAAAGACAGCATCCTCATCCTCATCCTCATCCTCCTCCTCCTCCTCACACAAAAGTGACCTAAGACAGGACCCTCGTCCTCCTCACATAGGAGTGACCTAAAGACAGCATCCTCTTCCTCACACAAGAGTGACCTAATGACAGGACCCTCCTCCTCATGCAGGAGTGACCTAAACTAGACAGGACCCTCCTCCTCCTCACACAGGAGTGACCTAAACTAGACAGGATCCTCCTCCTCACACAGGAGTGACCTTAACTAGACAGGATCATCCTCCTCCTCAAACAGGAGTGACCTAAACTATACAGGATCCTCCTCCTCACACAGGAGTGACCTAAACTATACAGGACCCTCCTCCTCCTCACACAGGAGTGACCTAAACTAGACAGGACCCTCCTCCTCTTCACACAGGAGTGACCTAAAGAAAGGAACCTCCTCCTCTTCACAAAGGAGTGACCTAAACAAGGTTGCAACCTTTCCCTCCTCTCCTGAATCAAGCCAGTGGAGAAAACTGACCTTTCTGGTTCTTGAGGAAGGCAATAGTGGCCTTAAGAACAGTGGACTTGTCCATCTTGCGGGTATTGGAAGCGACCATGCTGGAGAGCTCGTTGATCAGCAAGTTGAACTGGTCCCTCCTCTTCTTCTCTGAGAGGTTACGAGACTTCCTGTGCACCAGGAAGACACATGACTTACATACCTCATACATAAATACACATTAGCTGTTTACAAGAGATATACATGAAGTGCAATGAACACTTATCAGTACTCAGTAATAACCCACGTGGAGAGAGAAACTCAGAAGACTGATTGATCTGTATATTTCGACCCTCTTCTGGGATCTTCTTCAGCAGATACTGAAGAGGATCCCAGAGGAGAGTCAAAATATACAGATCATACAATCTTTTGAGTTTCTGTCTCCATGTGGGTTATTATTGAGCATATTACTTAAATATTAATGGTAACATAGTAACTAGAATTCTCTTGTAAACCCCCTTTTTTGCACAGTGTATTCTGTCAAATATTTATGTAGAGCAGGGTGTTAGTATTGACAAACCATTAATAATATCACATAATTAAGAGGGTGTATACATCTATAGTGAAAAAAGAACCATGAGTCATCCCAGGAAAGGTTGAAGAGAGGAAAAGAAGTTTTAAGTGGTATAGCTTGAGATTCCAGCAGGTCTGTGTGAGTGAATTAGATCATAATAGGTGGGACAAGTAGTTATAATGGCTTCACGTGTAATTCTTACATGTAATTCTTTTCACTGTGGCTACACACCTTCTTGGTCATCAAATTCTGCTTCATCCTCTCTGAATATCCAACCCACCTCAACAACCCCTCCTCTGCTCTCTTGGTAATATATTTTGTGATCTACACTATATTCCAATTTCTACTTGAATTCTTTGCATAAAAGTTACACCACAAAGCTAATCCCATTTATGGGAAACGCTTCTTATGATAAATAAATAAATAACTAACAAAAAGGCACAATACCGTGACTGGAACAATACACAAATAACCCGCACATAAAAGACAGAAGCTTACGACGACGTTTCGGTCCAACTTGGACCATTGACAAAGTCACACTAACAGAGGTGGAGCAGGACGGCTATATATAGGCAGGAAGAGGTGGTAGTAGTAGTAGTAGTACAAGAATTGTATATAATACCGACAGGATGATAGAGAGAAGACATTAAGGTTGTACTTTCTAGAAGGAAATAGAATTAGGGAGGATATGACTGAAGTGTACATATGGAAAACATCATATAGCTCTTCAAACAGAAAACAGAAGTAAATAAAGGGGATACAAATAACGGGCAAAAAGCATCAAGCTAAGACAGGACTCGCAGAATTAATGTTGGATGAACCTGGGTTTCAAAAGGATATAGAAAAGTACTGGTTTGGCAAGAGTTATAGAACAAACTCCCAGGTAGAGTCAATGCAGCCAGAACTTCAGGTAATTTTAAACATAAGCTGGAAGGGTACATGAGTGAGTGTGGTTGGGTTGGGTTGGAGTGGACCTGCCTAACATGGGTCAACAGGCCTACTGCAGTGTTCCTTCATTCTAATGTTCGTATGTACTCTGTAGGTTCTTAAGGTAACGTTTGGGAAGGATTATGAGAACCCTCATATCCATGTGATATAACTGGGTATGGATAATGTTGAATTAATATTCAGTTTCTAGGAGCTTTGTGTATAAGTTAACAATAATAATTCCTACAAACATTTACAAGGTATACAGACAATTGCTGACATCAATGACATACTGTATAGTAAGGCTCTTGTTATGCAGAGCATTTCGGGCAAATTAGGTCAATTTTGTCCTAGAACGTGACCCACACCAGTCAACCAACACCCAGGTACCTATTTTACTGCTAGGTGAACATGGACAGCAGGTGTCTTAAGGAAACATGTCCTAATGTTTCCACCTGTACCGGGGATCAAACCATAGAGTTGAGTGCGCTAGCAACCGAGCTGGTGAAGGAACTCGTACCCATCCCACATGTTTGTAGAGATTGTTAAAGGAAGAGAAGCAATTCAAGGTAGTGTTCAATCAGGTTGATAAAATCCCCAGCAGAAAGGGAAAGATTAAAGTATTGATTGACATTGTCGGAGTAGGTCAGTGGCTAGTGTGGTACAGACCTTTGTATATATATATAAAAAAAAGTGTCTTCTTGTGGACAGGAAGGTCTCTTAACATGGTTATGGAGGTCACCAGTGTTTTACCATAGATCGAAGAGCAGCAGGAGAAAATACTGAAGGTTCCCTAAGACAGGAAAGGTATTTGGTGAGGACTGGAAGTATCCTGGATGAGGTATACCGAGACAGACAGACAGCGAGTCATGGTACGTGCTGAGGTGTCAGAGTGGGCGCCTGTGACGAGTGGGGTTCCACAGGGGCCAATCCTGGGACCGGTGCTGTTTCTGGTACAGTATTTGTGAACGACATGACGGAAGGAGTAGACTCTGAAGTGTCCCTGTTTGCTGATGATGTGAAGTTGATGAGAAGAATTCAATCGGACGAGGACCAGGCAGAACTACAAAGGGGTCTGGACAGGCTGCTGGCCTGGTCCAGAAACTGGCTGCTGGAGTTCAACCCAAGCAAGTGCAAAGTCATGCAGATTGCATAAGGACAAAGAAGACTGCAGATGGAGTACAGTCTAGGGGGCCAGAGACTACAAACCTCACTCAAGGAAAAAGATCTTGGGGTGAGTATAACACCAGGCACATCTCCTGAAGCGCACATCAACCAAATAACTGCTGCAGCATATGGGCGCCTAGCAAACCTCAGAACAGCATTCCGACATCTTAATAAGGAATCGTTCAGGACCCTGTACACCGTGTACGTTAGGCCCATATTGGAGTATGCGGCACCAGTTTGGAACCCACACCTAGCCAAGCACGTAAAGAAACTAGAGAAAGTGCAAAGGTTTGCAACAAGACTAGTCCCAGAGCTAAGAGGTATGTCCTACGAGAAGAGGTTAAGGGAAATCAACATGACGACACTGGAGGACAGGAGAGATAGGGGGGACATGATAACGACACACAAAATACTGAGAGGAATTGACAAGGTGGACAGAGACAGGATGTTCCAGAGACTGGACACAGTAACAAGGGGACAGAGTTGGAAGTTGAAGATGCAGATGAATCACAGGGATGTTAGGAAGTATTTCTTCAGCCACAGAGTAGTCAGTAAGTGGAATAGTTTGGGAAGCGATGTAGTGGAGGCAGGATCCATACATAGCTTTAAGCAGAGGTATCATAAAGCTTATGGAGCAGGAAGTCAACTAGTAGCGACCAGTGAAGAGGTGGGGCCAGGAGCTGTGACCCGACCCCTGTAACCACAAGTAGGTGAGTACATATTACACAATCATATACATGAAGAAGAAACAACAAGACGTGACGTCACTCAATGTTTTGTCCTCAGAGATAAAATACCAGTCAGATGTTTTTGTCAGCGTCAGTTATACCCCAGGTATAACTGACGTTGATCCCTCACACCCCAGGTATAACTGACGTTGATCCCTCACACCCCAGGTATAACTGACGTTGATCCCTCACACCCCAGGTATAACTGACGTTGATCCCTCACACCCCAGGTATAACTGACGTTGATCCCTCACACCCCAGGTATAACTGACGTTGATCCCTCACACCCCAGGTATAACTGACGTTGATCCCTCACACCCCAGGTATAACTGACGTTGATCCCTCACACCCCAGGTATAACTGACGTTGATCCCTCACACCCCAGGTATAACTGACGTTGATCCCTCACACCAAAGGTATAACTAACGTTGATCCCTCACACCCCAGGTATAACTGACGTTGATCCCTCACACCCCAGGTATAACTGACGTTGATCCCTCACACCCCAGGTATAACTGACGTTGATCCCTCACACCAAAGGTATAACTAACGTTGATCCCTCACACCCCAGGTATAACTGACGTTGATCCCTCACACCCCAGGTATAACTGACGTTGATCCCTCACACCCCAGGTATAACTGACGTTGATCCCTCACACCCCAGGTATAACTGACGTTGATCCCTCACACCCCAGGTATAACTGACGTTGATCCCTCACACTCCAGGTATAACTGACGTTGATCCCTCACACCCCAGGTATAACTGACGTTGATCCCTCACACCCCAGGTATAACTGACGTTGATCCCTCACACCCCAGGTATAACTGACGTTGATCCCTCACACCCCAGGTATAACTGACGTTGATCCCTCACACCCCAGGTATAACTGACGTTGATCCCTCACACCCCAGGTATAACTGACGTTGATCCCTCACACCCCAGGTATAACTGACGTTGATCCCTCACACCCCAGGTATAACTGACGTTGATCCCTCACACCCCAGGTATAACTGACGTTGATCCCTCACACCCCAGGTATAACTGACGTTGATCCCTCACACCCCAGGTATAACTGACGATGATCCCTCACACCCCAGGTATAACTGACGTTGATCCCTCACACCCCAGGTATAACTGACGTTGATCCCTCACACCCCAGGTATAACTGACGTTGATCCCTCACACCCCAGGTATAACTGACGTTGATCCCTCACACCCCAGGTATAACCGACGTTGATCCCTCACACCCCAGGTATAACCGACGTTGATCCCTCACACCCCAGGTATAACCGACGTTGATCCCTCACACCCCAGGTATAACCGACGTTGATCCCTCACACCCCAGGTATAACTGACGTTGATCCCTCACACCCCAGGTATAACTGACGTTGATCCCTCACACCCCAGGTATAACTGACGTTGATCCCTCACACCCCAGGTATAACTGACGTTGATCCCTCACACCCCAGGTATAACTGACGTTGATCCCTCACACCCCAGGTATAACTGACGTTGATCCCTCACCCCAGGAATAACTGAGGTTGCGCATAAATGGTACACAATACCGTGGTAACTGTATCCTCACTCAACATTACAGCTTTCGTTAGTGACCCGGTAAAGACTTGGTAGGCCTACTGGATGCCACTTACACACTTGCATGTACCTGGTAGGCCTACTGGATGCCACTTACACACTTGCATGTACCTGGTAGGCCTAATGGATGCCACTTACACACTTGCATGTACCTTGTAGGCCTACTGGATGCCACTTACACACTTGCATGTACCTGGTAGGCCTACTGGATGCCACTTACACACTTGCATGTACCTGGTAGGCCTACTGGATGCCACTTACACACTTGCATGTACCTGGTAGGCCTACTGGATGTCACTTTCACACTTGCATGTACCTGGTAGGCCTACTGGATGCCACTTTCACACTTGCATGTACCTGGTAGGCCTACTGGATGCCACTTACACACTTGCATGTACCTGGTAGGCCTAATGGATGCCACTTACACACTTGCATGTACCTGGTAGGCCTACTGGATGCCAGTTATACACTTGCATGTACCTGGTAGGCCTACTGGATGCCACTTTCACACTTGCATGTACCTGGTAGGCCTACTGGATGCCACTTACACACTTGCATGTACCTGGTAAGCCTAATGGATGCCACTTACACACTTGCATGTACCTGGTAGGCCTACTGGATGCCAGTTATACACTTGCATGTAGCTGGTAGGCCTACTGGATGCCACTTACACACTTGCATGTACCTGGTAGGCCTAATGGATGCCACTTACACACTTGCATGTACCTGGTAGGCCTACTGGATGCCACTTACACACTTGCATGTACCTGGTAAGCCTAATGGATGCCACTTACACACTTGCATGTACCTGGTAGGCCTACTGGATGCCAGTTATACACTTGCATGTAGCTGGTAGGCCTACTGGATGCCACTTACACACTTGCATGTACCTGGTAGGCCTAATGGATGCCACTTACACACTTGCATGTACCTGGTAGGCCTACTGGATGCCACTTTCACACTTGCATGTACCTGGTAGGCCTACTGGATGTCACTTTCACACTTGCATGTACCTGGTAGGCCTACTGGATGCCACTTACATACTTGCATGTACCTGGTAGGCCTAATGGATGCCACTTACACACTTGCATGTACCTGGTAGGCCTAATGGATGCCACTTTCACACTTGCATGTACCTGGTAGGCCTACTGGATGCCACTTTCACACTTGCATGTACCTGGTAGGCCTACTGGATGCCACTTACACACTTGCATGTACCTGGTAGGCCTAATGGATGCCACTTTCACACTTGCATGTACCTGGTAGGCCTACTGGATGCCACTTACACACTTGCATGTACCTGGTAGGCCTACTGGATGCCACTTTCACACTTGCATGTACCTGGTAGGCCTAATGGATGCCACTTTCACACTTGCATGTACCTGGTAGGCCTACTGGATGCCACTTTCACACTTGCATGTACCTGGTAGGCCTACTCGATGCCACTTACTTGCATGTACCTGGTAGGCCTACTGGATGTCACTTTCACACTTGCATGTACCTGGTAGGCCTACTGGATGCCACTTACATACTTGCATGTACCTGGTAGGCCTAATGGATGCCACTTACACACTTGCATGTACCTGGTAGGCCTAATGGATGCCACTTTCACACTTGCATGTACCTGGTAGGCCTAATGGATGCCACTTTCACACTTGCATGTACCTGGTAGGCCTACTGGATGCCACTTACACACTTGCATGTACCTGGTAGGCCTACTGGATGCCACTTTCACACTTGCATGTACCTGGTAGGCCTAATGGATGCCACTTTCACACTTGCATGTACCTGGTAGGCCTACTGGATGCCACTTTCACACTTGCATGTACCTGGTAGGCCTACTGGATGCCACTTTCACACTTGCATGTACCTGAGAGTATATTGAATATAGTATATAATACCATGGAGCTGAATTCTTCTCCAGGCTGAGGGACTGACCACCTCAAATGCTATATCTTCAAGGTTAACGGACGGTTTACATCATCTTCATTTCACTACTACACTTGTTGTCTCTGTATGTGACTGAAGAAGTCTACTGTGTAGACGAAATGCTTCAACACTCTGTCTTAATCAAGTTAATAAAATTGTTCAGTGTCCAGAATATCTTGGTGCCAATTTTGTCAAGTCTGGGAACCAAAGTTTATTCAGGTATACATAAATACACTTACATAGATTATCATATATAGCAGTATATGTGTAAAGTGCCTGGGATAACCCAAAAAAGTCAGACACTGACTTATTTCCATTGTGGGGAGAGAACACAACTTTGTAGTAGCCACAGTCAGTGGCCAGGCTTCAAACACCTTTTATTGTACAGCAATAAAGGAATGGAACAGACTGCCTGCACATGTCAAAGCCAGTCATAGCATGAACCAGTTCAAGAAGACTGCCAAAAGGTGTCTGATGAATGTAGCTACAGAAAGGGAGGAGAATGATTTTCTATTTTTTAGCTAACACGTGTAATTTTACCTTATTCCTAGTAATGACCCTCGTATTGTAGTCTTAATGACCCTCGTGTAATAGTCTTAATGACCCTCTTGTAGTAGATAGTCTTTAGTATGATAATAAGATGTTATCTTCATTATAGAATGATAATAACATATATGATAACCTTTATAATATAATAATAAGGTATTAAAAGGACCACAATGGAAATAAGTCACTCTGTCTGACTTTTTTGGGTTATCCCAGGTTCTCTACACATATGTTGCTATGTATGATAATTCTATGTAACTGTATTTGTGTATACCTGAATAAACTTACTTAATATGAGTATATAGATGAATACATGTATACATGGGTGCTTGTGTGCACGAGTGACGTACATGTGCGTGTGTGTATGCATGTGTGACGTCCGTGTGAGTGACGTGGGTAGGTAGCATGGTGAGTGGGTAGTGAAGGTGGGTAGTAAAGTGGGTGGGTGGGTGGTGGAAGTGGGTGTGAGAGGTGGTTAAGACGTGGTGACGTCAGTAATAAGGTCTTGGACTCACCTCTTGACGTCATCCTTCTCCTCACTGACATCCTCTATCGCACACCTGTGGTACAACACAATACGTTAGTACGCTCGAAAAAATTACCCTTCCTCAACTATCCTTACATCACACTATCCCTCAACTATCCTTACATCACACTATCCCTCAACTATCCTTACATCACACTATCCCTCAACTATCCTTACATCACACTATCCCTCAACTATCCTTACATCACACTATCCCTCAACTATCCTTACATCACACTATCCCTCAACTATCCTTACATCACACTATCCCTCAACTATCCTTACATCACACTATCCCTCAACTATCCTTACATCACACTATCCCTCAACTATCCTTACATCACACTATCCCTCAACTATCCTTACATCACACTATCCCTCAACTATCCTTACATCACACTATCCCTCAACTATCCCTACATCACACTATCCCTCAACTATCCCTACATCACACTATCCCTCAACTATCCTTACATCACACTATCCCTCAACTATCCTTACTTCACACTATCCCTCAACTATCCTTACATCACACTATCCCTCAACTATCCTTACATCACACTATCCCTCAACTATCCTTACATCACACTATCCCTCAACTATCCTTACATCACACTATCCCTCAACTATCCTTACATCACACTATCCCTCAACTATCCTTACATCACACTATCCCTCAAACTATCCTTTACATCACACTATCCCTCAACTATCCTTACTCACACTATCCCTCAACTATCCTTACATCTACACTATCCCTCAACTATCCTTACTTACACTATCCTCAACTATCCTTACATCACACTATCCCTCAACTATCCTTACTTTACACTATCCCTCAACTATCCTTACTTACACTATCCCTCAACTATCCTTACTTTACACTATCCCTCAACTATCCTTACTTTACACTACCCCTCAACTATCCTTACTTTACACTATCCCTCAACTATCCTTACTTTACACTATCCCTCAACTATCCTTACTTTACACTATCCCTCAACTATCCTTACTTTACACTATCCCTCAACTATCCTTACTTTACACTATCCTCAACTATCCTTACTTTACACTATCCCTCAACTATCCTTACTTTGCACTATCCCTCAACTATCCTTACTTTACACTATCCCTCAACTACACTTACTTTACACTATCCCTCAACTACACTTACTTTACACTATCCCTCAACTACACTTACTTTACACTATCCCTCAACTACACTTACTTTACACTATCCCTCAACTATCCTTACTTCACACTATCCCTCAACTATCCATACTTTGCGCTATCCCTCAACTATCCTTACTTCACACTATCCCTCAACTATCCTTACTTTGCACTATCCATCAATTCTCCTTAAAAGTTGCTGACTCTGACTTACTGTAGCAGCCACAAGCTGAGTGATGAGTGATCTTAAGGACGACAGTGTTGTGTAGTGGAACACCAGGCTCCAGTAGGACAGTGTTGTGTAGTGGAACACCAGGCTCAGTTTGCTGTGTTTTTGCAGTGGAACACAGGCTCAGTAGGCACAGTGTTGAGTAGTGGAACACCAGGCTCCAGCAGGACAGTGTTGTGTAGTGGAACACCAGGCTCCAGTAGGACAGTGTTGTGTAGTGGAACACCAGGCTCCAGTAGGACAGTGTTGTGTAGTGGAACACCAGGCTCCAGTAGGACAGTGTTGTGTAGTGGAACACCAGGCTCCAGTAGGACAGTGTTGTGTAGTGGAACACCAGGCTCCAGTAGGACAGTGTTGTGTAGTGGAACACCAGGCTCCAGTAGGACAGTGTTGTGTAGTGGAACACCAGGCTCCAGTAGGACAGTGTTGTGTAGTGGAACACCAGGCTCCAGTAGGACAGTGTTGTGTAGTGGAACACCAGGCTCCAGTAGGACAGTGTTGTGTAGTGGAACACCAGGCTCCAGTAGGACAGTGTTGTGTAGTGGAACACCAGGCTCCAGTAGGACAGTGTTGTGTAGTGGAAACCAGGCTCCATTTAGGACAGTGTTGTGTAGTGGAACACCAGGCTCCAGTAGGACAGTGTTGTGTAGTGGAACACCAGGCCCCAGTAGGACAGTGTTGTGTAGTGGAACACCAGGCTCCAGTAGGACAGTGTTGTGTAGTGGAACACCAGGCTCCAGTAGGACAGTGTTGTGTAGTGGAACACCAGGCTCCAGTAGGACAGTGTTGTGTAGTGGAACACCAGGCTCCAGTAGGACAGTGTTGTGTAGTGGAACACCAGGCTCCAGTAAGACAGTGTTGTGTAGCGGAACACCAGGCTCCAGTAGGACAGTGTTGTGTAGTGGAGCACCAGGCTCCAGTAGTACAGTGTTGTGTAGTGGAACACCAGGCTCCAGTAGGACAGTGTTGTGTAGTGGAACACCAGGCTCCAGTAGGACAGTGTTGTGTAGTGGAACACCAGGCTCCAGTAGGACAGTGTTGTGTAGCGGAACACCAGGCTCCAGTAGGACAGTGTTGTGTAGTGGAACACCAGGCTCCAGTAGGACAGTGTTGTGTAGTGGAACACCAGGCTCCAGTAGGACAGTGTTGTGTAGTGGAACACCAGGCTCCAGTAGGACAGTGTTGTGTAGTGGAACACCAGGCTCCAGTAGGACAGTGTTGTGTAGTGGAACACCAGGCTCCAGTAGGACAGTTTTGTGTAGCGGAACACCAGGCTCCAGTAGGACAGTGTTGTGTAGTGGAACACCAGGCTCCAGTAGGACAGTGTTGTGTAGTGGAACACCAGGCTCCAGTAGGACAGTGTTGTGTAGCGGAACACCAGGCTCCAGTAGGACAGTGTTGTGTAGTGGAACACCAGGCTCCAGTAGGACAGTGTGTAGTGGAACACCAGGCTCCAGTAGGACAGTGTTGTGTAGTGGAATACCAGGCTCCAGTAGGACAGTGTTATGTAGTGGAACACCAGGCTCCAGTAGGACAGTGTTATGTAATGGAACACCAGGCTCCAGTAGGACAGTGTTGTGTAGTGGAACACCAGGCTCCAGTAGGACAGTGTTGTGTAGTGGAACACCAGGCTCCAGTAGGACAGTGTTGTGTAGTGGAACACCAGGCTCCAGTAGGACAGTGTTGTGCAGTGGAACACCAGGCTCCAGTAGGGCAGTGTTGTGTAGTGGAACACCAGGCTCCAGTAGGACAGTGTTGTGTAGTGGAACACCAGGCTCCAGTAGGACAGTGTTGTGTAGTGGAATACTAGGCTCCAGTAGGACAGTGTTGTGTAGTGGAACACCAGGCTCCAGTAGGACAGTGTTGTGTAGTGGAACACCAGGCTCCAGTAGGACAGTGTTGTGTAGTGGAACACCAGGCTCCAGTAGGACAGTGTTGTGTAGTGGAATGCCAGGCTCCAGTAGGACAGTGTTGTGTAGTGGAACACCAGGCTCCAGTAGGACAGTGTTGTGTAGTGGAACACCAGGCTCCAGTAAGACAGTGTTGTGTAGTGGAATACCAGGCTCCAGTAGGACAGTGTTGTGTAGTGGAACACCAGGCTCCAGTAGGACAGTGTTGTGTAGCGGAACACCAGGCTCCAGTAGGACATTGTTGTGTAGTGGAATACCAGGCTCCAGTAGGACAGTGTTATGTAGTGGAACACCAGGCTCCAGTAGGACAATGTTGTGCAGTGGAACACCAGGCTCCAGTAGAACAGTGTTGTTTAGTGGAACACCAGGCTCCAGTAGAACAGTGTTGTGTAGTGGAACACCAGGCTCCAGTAGGACAGTGTTGTGTAGTGGAACACCAGGCTCCAGTAGGACAGTTTTGTGTAGTGGAACACTAGGCTCCAGTAGGACAGTGTTGTGTAGTGAAACACCAGGCTCCAGGAAGACAGTGTTTAGTGGAACACCAGGCTGCAGGAAGACAGTGTTGTGTAGTGGAACACCAGGCTCCAGGAAGACAGTGTTGTGTAGTGGAACACCAGGCTCCAGGAAGAGTGTTGTGTAGTGGAACCCCAGGCTCCAGTAGGACAGTGTTGTGTAGTGGAACACCAGGCTCCAGTAGGACAGTGTTGTGTAGTGGAACACCAGGCTCCAGTAGGACAGTGTTGTGTAGTGGAACACCAGGCTCCAGTAGGACAGTGTTGTGTAGTGGAACACCAGGCTCCAATAGGACAGTGTTGTGTAGTGGAACACCAGGCTCCAGTAGGACAGTGTTGTGTAGCGTAACACCAGGCTCCAGTAGGACAGTGTTGTGTAGCGGAACACCAGGCTCCAGTAGGACAGTGTTGTGTAGTGGAATACCAGGCTCCAGTAGGACAGTGTTATGTAGTGGAACACCAGGCTCCAGTAGGACAGTGTTGTGCAGTGGAACACTAGGCTCCAGTAGAACAGTGTTGTTTAGTGGAACACCAGGCTCCAGGAAGACAGTGTTGTGTAGTGGAACACCAGGCTCCAGTAGGACAGTGTTGTGTAGTGGAACACTAGGCTCCAGTAGGACAGTGTTGTGTAGTGAAACACCAGGCTCCAGGAAGACAGTGTTGTGTAGTGAAACACCAGGCTCCAGGAAGACAGTGTTTAGTGGAACACCAGGCTGCAGGAAGACAATGTTGTGTAGTGAAACACCAGGCTCCAGGAAGACAGTGTTTAGTGGAACACCAGGCTCCAGGAAGACAGTGTTTAGTGGAACACCAGGCTCCAGGAAGACAGTGTTTAGTGGCACACCAGGCTCCAGGAAGACAGTGTTGTGTAGTGGAACACCAGGCTCCAGTAGGACAGTGTTGTGTAGTGGAACACCAGGCTCCAGTAGGACAGTGTTGTGTAGTGGAACACCAGGCTCCAGTAGGACAGTGTTGTGTAGTGGAACACTAGGCTCCAGTAGGACAGTGTTGTGTAGTGGAACATCAGGCTCAAGGAGGACAGTCTTGTGTAGTGGAACACCAGGCTCCAGTAGGACAGTGTTGTGTGGTGGAACACCAGGCTCCAGTAGGACAGTGTTGTGTAGTGGAACACCAGGCTCCAGTAGGACAGTGTTGTGCAGTGGAACACCAGGCTCCAGTAGGACAGTGTTGTGTAGTGGAACACTAGGCTCCA